CCACGGTCCCATCATTTCGCTACCGTTCGATTCCTTTTCGGAATTGCCTCCACGTCCTCCTCTAGGACTCGTGTATCATCTCGACTGAATGCCTTGATGGACCCGGAACTCTTCATCCCTCAAAGGAGAGGAAGACTTCTCCCGCCGTGTTGCGTAGAATAGCATCGGACGCTTTTCGGATGGAAGAACGTGTTGCGAGTCGGATCTCAGGAGATTTTTTCGTTTTTTTTTACTGCTTCCGTAAGAGTGACGAAGGAGAGCGACCGATGGCACCCTTGCCCTTGACTGGCGCGAATGCTTGTCTGAGGGTTACAGGGCTGCGTGCTTACCGACGTGGCAAAGAGAGACGAGGGATAGAACCAGAGACAAGAGAGAAAGAGAGAGGGAGAGAGGTAGAGCCAGAGCCGCGTGTACCGGAAGGTGGAAGGTAGAAGTGAAACCAGGTTGTGAAGATTGCATAAAGTGCGTAGAGCCGAGTCGAGTGGAGGGTGCCGAGAGGGTTGTATGTTAAGTGGTTGCTTCGCTGCTTGGTTGCTCGATGGTAGCTTTAGCTTTGGTTGGTTGGTTGTTCAGTAGGTTGGCTGATTGGTTAGTTGGCTGATTCGGTCCTCTTAGTGTATATAAGTTTGATGCTGGATTCATTGACCCGTGTACAAAAGCACTGTAGTATTACTGTACCTATTGTAACGTATTTTCTTAAGTCTACAGCGATAACGAAGATCCGAGAACTAACCTACGTCACCTTCGACCGTCCACCCTTTGGTCCATGCATCCGTATGCCAGGCAGGCGCCAGCCAATTCTTTTTTCACGGGGAACTGAGGAGCCGGCATAACCTGAGAGTTGAGGTGGAACAGTCTCAACTTTGCCAAAAAGAGATCCGGAAGATCTTTGGGGTCGCGTCAAATCAGCGAACGATAACAACAATGCGCGGCCACTCAGACAGGTAAATAGTGCGCAATACCGAGAGCAATTGATCGAGAACGTAGCAGAACGAATCGGAGCTACAAAATCGAGATCCCTCCACCAATTAATGAATTGGGAATCCTCACCGGAGCTGGTTCAGCTGATCCGTCAAGGCCGAGAACTGCATCCAGGGGCACTCGGGTGGGCACTGCACTATAGCACAACACTGCACTTCGGAAAGACACGCAGAAAATCTATAGGATTTTCGGAACATTGCGAGAATCACGCGAGCGAAAACTTCCTATACCGTATAGGCAACGCGACTAGAAAAACTATCAACAAACAACCCGAGAGCGCGAGGCAGCTCGAGGCACCCCGATCGGTGTCCCAAGACAGACTGCTTTAACGCAGCCAATTGGCAATAGTAATGTTTGAGAACTAATCGTTCTGATTGGTCGAGATCCTTATAGCCGATAACTATTATCCTTTCCCTCGAGTCTAAACAATGAAAAATCTTCCGAGAGCATTGGCCTAACTGTACGAATCGATCCGAGAGCGTAGCTTCTGATCAGGGTGGCGACTCGAAGGGAACCAGGAAGCGAGAACGTTATCTAAATCGGTATCTGGAGCCGCCTTGTGACAGTGAATCGAAAAATCACGTCACACCATATATAAATATTTGGCAGAAGAAAAAATACTATATACATATTATTTTTATTTCCTATCACATCATCCCCTGATCATTTTGAATATCGGAAGGTCAATTATCATAGATGCTAACCCTCCAAGAAATATTTCCCTGGACACGTGATTTTCTTGTCTACGATAAATTACCTATAAAGTATCGGCCGCATATATCTCAGCCATTAACGGCCGCGAATAGCCGATAACGTTATCGCGGGTTATTACCTAGGAAGGTCCGACCGAGATCGTTTTAGAGAAATAGCCTGAAGTAATGAAGGCCCACACTGAGTACCTAGAGGGTGAAGACAAGGGGGAGAGAAACGCTAAGGGATGATTTCAAGGAATATACTACACCAGTGGCTGCCTGGTCAACGCTTTTTCACTTAAGCACTGTCCTCGTATGGTAGGATTCACCTATGAATATGTATGCACACGAGTAGTGCTACCACTTGGTTAAATATATTCGAGGGTTGGTTCTTTCTCAGGGGCGGACCTACGTGTCCCGATATTTTCTCACCTTTCGCCAAACTATTTTTAGGATAAAACAAAACGGACGATGAGGGTACTTATAATTTTTGGATGACGTACTGTTTTTGGAAATTCAAAATAAATAAAAAAAAGTTCCAAAGAGTAGCGAAGACGTTATAGAAAATTTTGAAAATACAACATGATGGCCTAGTAGTAGATCATATAATAAGCAGATACGTAGGGTATTATGTATTTGACATTAATAATATATGAATTCAATACTTTTTGTCAAAAAAATTCGCAGCACTTGGCATAGTTTTGTACACATAAGTGTTTTTTGGACGGTATTATTTTAATGGTATAGTACTTTCAATTTTCTGACCACTAGGTGATATCACTGGTAGTCATATCAGAGAGGAGATAAAAGTTCATATGTTGGTAGTGACCCGATTGATTAATTATATTAATAACTGGACATATTAACATTTGGAAAGCAGAAACCACGGTGGGTAACGCAGGGTTTGGTCTTTCGGTCGCGCCTTATTGCTCTCTCCGTCGCACGCACGGCCCGAGATACGTATCACCTCTCACTCTCCTCTTTTACCTCACCGCACGGCGATCACAAGCAGGACGCCATTAATGACGCTCAGTCACATGATTTGTTTCGTCGCCTTGGCTGTACAGCCGGTTGCCTGTACTTGGCACGAGACTCTACCGGGTCTCTTGATCCGAAAAAAGAAAGATTGCTCTTAGAAAATCTTGTAAGGATTTTAGGTTTATTTTTTTTGTCAATAAAAAAAAAGTTCTCGCGAGCTTTCCTCTATACGCGATAGTGCAAGCGGCATATGATTTATGCATATATTACGTATAGGATATGTGATTTATCGACGTGGAACGAATATACGTAGTTTAGGATTGTCTGCTGGATATAGCGAAGATATCGAGCGAATTCACCTAGCCTAACAGAGGAGTAAGGAAACTCCAGGGTAGCGATTGGAGAAGACACGTGGAGGACCCATAGCCATACTTCGATTCCACCCAGGAACTAAAGCCAAAACGAATAAAACATTGACCCACGATCCCAAAGAAAATGGTACTATTGGCATCCTGAGAAAAAGTCCTGATTTATAGCCACGTTCGTGTGTCCCGTTGTAGCGCGAGCAGCCGTGTAATCTCGAATGATAAAAAGAGAAAGAGGAAGTAATACAAAAAGGAATGACAAGAAAGAGAAACGTCCCAAAATGTATAGTACGAATTGGTAGATATACAGAAAGGAAGATATAAAGAAAACTGGATCCGCAGTGAGGCGAAAATGAAACCGAAACTGGAACAGGATCAAAGTAAAGGGAAGGATTGGTTAAACTGGACTGAGTTTAGGAGTGGATGAGAAGAAAAGAGAAAGAATGAAGAGAGAGAGAGAGAGAGAGAGAGAGAGAGAGGTATAAATTTGAAAAGGAAAAAGAATGTCCCACTTGCGTACGGTTAAACGATCCTGCTGACGATTCGTTTGTCCAATGGCCCATTTGGGACTCGTTTCCGTAACGCCCACTGTAAATAAGCGTACATTTACCGAAGCATTTTGGCCGCGCGAGCCACTCGCGACGACTGACCCGTGAATCCCGTGTCCCGCATTCAGGTTCCCCAGGGCGTCCAAGTGTTTTTAGGGAACTGAGTGTATAGCTGGCTGAAGACACTGGATTGGCTGCGTCATAGTACAATATATATATGTTCCATCGAGATATCACAATAGCAAAGGGCCGGCGAGCATACAGGGAGAGCCGATCAGTAAAATTCGAAGATTGATGTTAGCCTCGAGACGGGCCTTTTCGCTAATCGAGAATCAATGGGCTGAGCCGGTAGCTACGTAGCCTCCTATACCTAAATTAATTCATATTAAATCCATTAGGAAGATTCGCCGTTCGCGAATTTACATCCCCGAACGAACTTCGCGGCTCCCGGACAACGGCGACTCTCCATTGGGGATCTTTATTTTTAATGGGATCCCCGCAACTTTTTATACCCACCAAGAGAGAACGATCGAGAGAGAGAGAGAGAGAGAGAGAGAGAGGGCG